AGGACAGCCTGAGATCCATGAATCCAAGAAGGTCTGAGATCCATTGAGCCACAGTGATCTGAGATCCTCTGATCCAGGATGATCCAAGATACATTGATCCAGGATTATCCAGGATCCACTGATCCAGGAAGATCTGGGACCCATTCATCCAGGAAGGTCTGAGATCCATTGATCCAGGATGATCCAGGATCCACTGACCCAGGAAGGTCCAGGATCCACTGATCCGGGATGATCCAAGACCCCTTCCCACTATCTCCCACCAGGGTCCCACAGTGCTGGACCACGTCCTGTCCCCACATCTCCATCTCCAAAATCCACCAGGAAAAGGGCACGGGGGTGACACAAAGGTCCTTATCCCAGGCACTGGGGGGGTTTCCTGGATTTTTGGGTCCTCCCTGGACCTGCTGTGGGAAGAAATGGAATTTTCCCCCTTTTTCCATTACCAGGAAATGCCCAGGAGTATCCTGGTAAAATCCAGGATTTTCCCAGATTCCCACCCTCCTTTTCCACTCTCCTGTGGGGAAAGAGCCCTGGCAGAGGTGGAGTCACCAACAATTCCAGGGAATATTTTCCTTCCCACTGCTCCAAATTAACACCTGGAATCCCCGCCCCAGGATCTGCCAGAAATCAACAGGGATAAAGGACTGAAAAAAGGGATTTAGAGAAATTCATGGAATCCAAGCCATCCAGGAATCTTTGCCACCCCATGGATATTCCCTAAATCCCTCATCCTACACAAAGCCCACACCATCTGCTTGAGCCTTTCCATGAAATTTCCCAGTCTCCAGAATCCTGGAGTGGTTTGGGTGGAAAAGGGACCTTAAATCCCAATCAGTTCCATGGGAAGGGACAATTCCCACTGTCCCAGGCTGCTCCAAGCCCCAGTGTCCAACCTGGCCTTGGGCACTGCCAGGGATCCAGGGGCAGCCCCAGCAAATCTGGGAATTCCAGCCCAGCCCCTGCCCACCTTCCCAGGGAGGAATTTTTTGATAGAAACCAATTAAAATCCCCCCCAAAATTGGGCAAAATTTGGTTTCTGCTCAGGGCAATGAGGGAAGGTGGAATCCAATGCTCATCCAGGGATTTTCCTGCCCCTGGATCCCCCATAAACCTGGGTGTTCCAGCAGCCAGGCGTCCAAAGGAGATGTGGAATTTCATCCTTTATGGGATTTAGGGATCGGGTTTTTCCCCGGGGATGCACAAAGCCAGACGAAACATTAATTAAACAGTTAAATGCTGTATTTGTTTAATTGGAATTACACCAGGATAAATGTCCAACATGCTAATTTCTAACAGAATTGAACCTGTAAACCATGCAGTCCTTTCTCCAACCATTCCAGCTCTTTTTCCTCTTGGAATCAGTAGCTCTGCTAGCGAGTTTTAAGGAAAAAAAAACAAAACCAAAAACAAACCAACAACAAAATTCCCTTTAAAGTTAAACCTAAATTTGCTAAATTTTCCCCTTATTGTGCAACGACTTGTGCAAAAAAAGCTGTTTTCACCACCTCAGTTCCCAAAATCAGGTCCTTCCACCCCAAAATCAACGGGAAAAGGCAACCCCGGCAGCCGGCGGACAGGGATGGGATAATGGGATGGGATGGGATAATGGGATGGGATGGGAGTGTGGGGGGTTTTCCTGGCAAAACAGAATCTGAGGGATGAGCCAAGGCAGGGAGCAGCTTGGATAGGGCAGGATTCCAGAGCTGCCCATGGAATTTTTGGGAAGCTGCAGGTGGGGATGGATCCCAGCTCCGGGAAAAGCTTCCCAAATCCAGCCCTGGGGGCAAGAGAGGGGCTGGAGATTGGAGCAGCAGCTTTGGGGTGAAGCAAAGCCCCCCCCTTCGCTCCCCCCCTCCATCCTGGAATTTTTGGGGTGAATCCCAGCCAATCCTGGCGTGTTCAGGTCACTTCCCGCCGATCCACGGCGCTCCCAGTGGACAGCAGAGCTGGGATCATCTTGGGATGGGATTTATGGGATTTGTGTTCCCTTGGAACTGCCAGCAGTGGGATAAATATGGAACCGTGCCAGGGGGGATATGAGGGGTCTCCAGCCTTGTGGAGCTGTAGGAAAAATGGGACAGAGATCCCAAAAATCCTGCGGGATCCAGGGATGGGACACGGATCCAACCAGAGTGTGGGATGGTGTTTGGATGCTCCAAACCCCTCCAAGGCCCCAGAAAGCACCAAACCCAACCCAGAAATAACGGGAAAAGCCCAGCGGAGGCAGGAGACACCCAAGGGTGAGGAATCTCTGCCTGGGATTTGGGTTCTGGTTGCAATCTCTGCCTGGGATTTGGGTTCTGGTTGGAATCTCTGCCTGGGATTTGGGTTCTGGTTGCAATCTCTGCCTGGGATTTGGGTTCTGGTTGGAATCTCTGCCTGGGATTTGGGTTCTGGTTGGAATTTGATCCCAACACTTTGTCACGAGGGACGTGGCAGCAGAGATGTCCCCAGAATGGCCCCAGCTCTGTCCCAGCCTCACTTCCAAGGAATTTGGGGCCACCACGACCCCTTCCCACAGCTCCTGTCTGAAATTCCACCTTCCCCGAAGCAGCCAACCCGGGAGAAAACAACCCCAAAACAGCATCATCCCAACTCCTCCCATTCCCATCCGAGCAGGAGCTGGGATTGGATCTGGAACAAAGTGCAAAAATCACTGGGAGCATCTGGCTTGAACTCCAGCCCCAGGAATGTCCAAAAAATCCCAGGAAAACCCCTCCTTTCCCATCTTCCAGGTGCTGATGGCTCAGGGAGAACATCCCATGCATGGGTTGGGCTGCAAATTCCCACTTTGGACACCTTTTATGGGATAATTCCCAACTCCTGGAATGCCTGACAACTCCTGAAGAAGGAAAGAGGCTTCTTGGGAAGCCAAATTTGAGTTTTAATGTAATTTTTTCCCACTGCTGCTGGGATGTATTTGCTGGAGCCGGGAAAAATCACGGGACAATCCAATTTTCTTTTCTTAAAAAATAAAATCCACTGAGGAATGTTTGGTGGATGCGGAGCGAGGCGTGAGAGCAGCATTGTTCACTCTGGGAAGCTGGAAATCTTGGATTTGGGTCCCGCCCCTGCTTCCCACCCCCCTTTTAAATTCCCTACAGCGACTTTTCCCTCCTAAGCAATTCCATCCGTGTCGGAGGACACCCATCATTAGCAAGAGACTGAGAGGGGATTTGGGATGTCTTCCAGGGCTTTTTTTTTTTGGGGGGGGCAATCTGTTAAAAAGATTAATTTTGTTTGGAAGTGATGGAACATCTCTCGGAACAAAAAGTTAATTGGGACCAGAGTCCCAAAATCCCATTTTTCATCCCGGGCTCTGACTTGCGGTTCCGGCTCTTGACCTCCCGAGATCAGGAACTCCCAGAATCTCTCCCTTGGCCAGATTTGACTTCCCCAGCAGCAAATCCCGAGTGCCAGGAGCTGGTTTGGAGGATCCCAATCCTGGTTTTTCCAAAAAAAAAACCAAAAAAAAACCCTGAAAGAGCAAGGAAACCCATCCCAGGTTGCTGCTCCTGGAATTATGGCTCAGGAAGATGGGAAAGGGAGCCCAGAGTGGATTTGGGAAGGGTGGGAGCTGCCTGGAGCTGCCTGGAGCTGCCTGGAACTGAGGCTTTGCTGAGGGTTTTTTGTGGGAATGCCTCGTGGAGGGCAATATAGGAGAGGAAAATGGAATTTCAGGATGGCAGCACAAAATCCCTTCCCTGCATCCCGGGGTTTCTGCTCCATCTCCATCCCACTCCCGGAATTCCCAGCCCTTGTCCCTCTGGGTCGTTTCCAGAGGTGTCTCCAAAGCTGATCCCTTTCTGGCCACGCTGACTCCAACTTTCCTTCACCTGCTGCTTTTCCCATCATTCCTCTTCCATATCCCTCCTGGAGGAGTTCACCAGGAACCCCCGATCCCTCCCCAAATCCAAGGAATTACAAATTTTCCCTCTTATTAATGAAAACAATCCCTTGGTCCCTGTAGCTGGAGATGGCTGGGACAGCCCAAGAGCTCCAGGGGGTCATTCCTGACCGTGTTCCCGTGTAATTTTGGGATTGAGCCAAAGGAACCTTCTACCAAATGAAAACCAACCCCAAAATATTGCTGAGGAGCAAGGCGGGAAGGTAAAACCTCTGGATCAGTGCATCCAGAGGGCTGGGAATGGGCACAGGAGCAGCAGCTCAGGGCTGCAACAACCACCAGGGAGACTGGAATTCCCTTTGAGGGTTTGGGAATGTGGCTGGATAATGTGAGGAATTAAGAGGCAAGATGAGAAGGGCAAAAATCCCCCTCTGGAAGTGGAATCCTGGGATTAAATCCTGTTGGTGGCCGCCTGGTTTGAGCAGAGGATGTCTGGGGACCTTCAGGACAGGGGGAATTTTATCCACAGGCACTTTGGAGCAGCGCTGCTCCATGGGGAATCTCCCACTGCCTCCAGGAGATTCCCACTGGTCCAGCTCCAAAACTTCCCAGGGAAGTTTTCCCCATGGAGCCATCAGGAGGAGAGGGAGGATGGGACACCAGCATGGAAAAGAGAGGGAAAAATCCCTCCTGGACACCGTGAGATCCCAGTGTGCCTTCCCCTCATCCCTGTGAGCATCCATCCCTTCCCTTTCCCTATCCATGGATGTGTCCAGCAGCATCCCAGCCCCACAGCGCTGCCACAGGACACATTCCCAGATTATCCTTCAGCCGTCCCTTCCCAAATCTGATCAAGGAGGCTGCTCCAAACACTTCTCCGTGATCCCACAGCCCCTGGCAGGTCCCAGAGAGGAGCTCAGGGATGGTTATGGACATGTGGGAAAGGGTCGCAATTCCAGGGATTTGCAGGCTAATGTGGAAATCAGCCCGTGGAGGGGGAAAAGAGGAGAAAAAAACCCTGGGAAATCCCTTTTTCCTACCTAAATCCAAACCACAGGACACACTCAGGGTGACCCTCTTCCCTCTGCCCAGAGAACCCACAGCTCTTCCCGGATTTCTCAGTTTTCCAAGGGAATAAGTTAACAAAAGGAAGGCAGGATGATCCCTTCAATTTGGCTTTGACAAAAACAAAAAACAAAACCAAAAACCCAGTCCGGGTGCGAACTTCTCCCAGGCTCCAAGAATTCCCATCACTTCCTAAACCCCTGAAAATAGGAGTTGATCCAGGAGACTCCTGCCACCACCTCTTTTTCCCAGGATTGTTCCACCGGGAGCGTTTTGCCGTCGGGGGGAGGCTCCGCGGAGACTTTCCAGGCGAATAAAAAAATACAAATCTTCTCTCCCAACGAGATTCCCGGAGTCCAGGCCGCGGGAAGGAGATCCCGAGCCCCTCAGGAGTGGTGGCTGTTGATGAGGCCGCGCAGCTGCTTGGCCACGGTGTCGATCAACTTCTGCTTGTCCCGCTCGTTTTTCCGGAATTGGGCGAAAACGTTGTTTTTCCTGCTGGTGTCCCGCATCCTGCACGGAGCACAAACAGGTTATGGAACAGGGATTGGGAATGAACAGTGCTCAGGGATGAGCACGTGGAATTTCAAGTCTCTACACAAATTTTTGGGGCATTTTTCATCCCAACCAATGCCACTTTAGGTTCTCCTTTAGGTTCTCCCCAATTCCCACTCTTTTTTCTGGAATTGGGCGAAAACGTTGTTTTTCCTGCTGGTGTCCCGCATTCTGCATGGAGCACAAACAGGTTATGGAACAGGGATTGGGAATGTCCAGCGCTCAGAGAGGAGAGGATGGAATTTCCAGGCTCTACACCAAATTTTGGGGCATTTTTCAGGCTTTGAATCCCTCTGATCCCAACCAACGCCACTTTGGGGTCTCCCCAGTTCTTGCTCTTTTTTCTGGAATTGGGTGAAAACATTGTTTTTCCCGCATCCTGCATGTAGCACAAACAGGTTATGGAACAGGGATTGGGAATATCCAGTGGTCTGAAAGGAGCACATGGAATTTCCAGGCTCTACACCAATTATTTTTTTGGAAATTTTCAGGTGTTTTTGCTTTAAACCCCTCCAATCCCAATCAGCACCACTTTGGGGTCTCTCCCTAGTTCCCAAATGCAGGAAATCCTAAATCCTGCATTTGGATCCCTCTTCCAAGCAGGGATAGTTCCATCCCCACGTCCCCTTCTTTGGTGGTGATGGAATTTGAGGAGGAAATTTAAAAATCAGCACGAAATCCACAGAATTAAGGCTTTTTAATTAAAACTTGCATGCACGAGATGCAGCTTTAGGGGAGGCTGGGAAGGTCTGGAGTTGTGAATTTAAATTTTATAAAATATTCCAAGGAATCACGGAATGTTTGGGTTGGAAGGGACCTTAAATCCCACCCATTTCCAACCCCACTGCCATGGGCAGGGGCACCGTCCACTATCCCATTTTTTACCTGATTAATAAAAAATATAAATTATATAAATGTATATAATTTATCTTAAATATAACACTGAATAATTCCCATTCCAGGAAGGAATCCAGCTGTTTGGAAGGAGCACGGTGTCTCCAGGAGTTCTCCATAAATCCAGAGCCCAGCAGAGCAAGAGGTGGGATGGGGGCAAAGCTGGGAGGGGGTCATGCACTCCCGCATTCCCAGATCCATATTTTTGGGGGGAACAGGGCTTGGGACACTTCCCAAGGATGCTGAGAAGGGAAAAAAAATCCCACCAGGATCAACCTTCCAGCAGCTCCTTGAAGGCACAACTTCCCAAAATCCAACCTGCTGGGGCTCGGCTCTTCCAAATCATCCCAATTTGTAAAAGATTTTCTGGGTAAATCAGATCTGGCAGAGGCTGAGGGCTTTGGATGCATCCCATAATCCCAGTTTTTGGCTGTGGGGACCTAAAGGAAGCGTTGAAGTGACAGGGACACAGCACTGACGATCCCTGGGAAGCTGGCACTGGATCAACTGAGCACAACACCAACCTCTCCAAACTTCCGGACCACAAACAAACATCCAAGGTTTTCCAGGCTTCAATCTCCTAGAAAGAGCCACAGGGAATCTGAAATGTTCCCAAAAACACCAGGCTTGGAACTGGAATCCAGGATAACAGCTTTATCCCAAAGGGAATTTTCTGGGGTTACCAGAGATGGAGCTGCTCTCCCAACAGGAACAGGAGAGCTTGGAGCACTTCCAGTCATCAAAAAATCGGGATTTGTTTGTTTTTCCCTATTTCTCAGCCACAGAAGGTTGGCAGCTGCTCCTTCAGGAGAACCAAGGAGTGATTGTGCCAGCAGGAAGTGGAGTTTGGAGTGGCCCAGGTCCTGCTGTCGTGGATTTGGGGATAATTATCCTCCCCTGGAGCTCCAAACAGCTCCAGGAGGTCTCCAAGCCCTTCCCCAGGAAGGCTGGGAGCTCTCCTGGGTTCCAGAGGGACACCAGAGGTGCTGGAAGTTGATCTGTACCTTTGGAAAGCTCTTCCCAGCCCTTCCACACACTGGGAATTTAGAGCTTTTCCATCCTGGCACCTCTGGGGCCATCTCCCACCACGTGGGACCTGCTCGGGTCCATGGAATGTTCTGGAAGCAGTGCACATTCTGTGCGAGAAAACCTCGGGGTGCATTGGGATGACTGGGAAGGAGCTGGATGGATAAAGCCTTGGATCAGGATGGAAAGGGATTGCAGCTGGAGCCCTGATCCCACAACAAACCCACAGAAGTGGATCTGCAAAAGTCTGGGAGCATCTGGGAGCTGCTGGAATCTCCAGACACCACGTGAAGGTGCAAGCAGCGAACTATTAACTATTATTAATTAATCAAGATACAGGACAGAAAATCCTGCAGGATTTGGGTTGGGCTGTGCAGATCCATGGGGTTTTTTCCCTGAGAAGAGCTTTGGGATTACTGGGAGCACCATTAACAAAGCCCACAGAGGTGGATCTGCAAAAGTCTGGGAGCATCTGGGAGCTGCTCCGTGGAATCTCCAGACACCACGTGAAGGTGCAAGCACTGAGACATTAAATATTATTAATTAAGCTGCCTACAGGACAGAAAATCCTGCAGGATTTGGGATGGGCTGTGCAGATCCACAGATTTTTTCCTAAGCAGAGCTTTGGGATAATGGGGAGCGCCATTAAAAAAACCCACAGAGGTGGATCTGGAAAAGTCTGGGAGCATCTGGGAGCTGCTGGAATCTCCAGACACCACGTGAAGCACTGAGCTACTAACTATTATTAATTAATTAAGATACAGGACACAAAATCCTGCAGGATTTGGGTTGGGCTGTGCAGATCCATGGGTTTTTTTTCCTGAGAAGAGCTTTGGGATAACAGGGAGCACCATTAACAAACCCACAGAAGTGGATCTGCAAAAGTCTGGGAGCATCTGGGAGCTGCTGGAATCTCCAGACACCACGTGAAGGTGCAAGCACTGAGCTATTAACTATTATCTATTAATTAAGCTGCCTCCGGGACACAAAATCCTGCAGGATTTGGGACGGGCTGTGCAGCTCCCCAGTTTTATTTCTCCGAGCAGAGCCTCGGGATAACCGCGGGTTTGGAAGCCGGTCCCAGGATTAGGAGTGAAAGGAAGGGAAAGGCGAGCTCGGCGCTGTCCCCACCCCTGTCAACAAACACCACCTCGGAGAGAGCCGAGCTTTGTCTCAATTAATCCGGGAGGGGAAGAAAGCAGCGGGGTAAAAGCTCCTCTTTTAGCTCTAATTAGTGCATTTGGGAGGATCGGGTTGCGCAGGGCCCCGCTCCAGAGGCACTTTGCATTTCCAGCGTTTCGGGCTCCATTGAGAGCGGACAATCGGGGCCCTGCCAGGTGAGGGTGAAAGCCCGAGCGAGCGCATACTTACACCCGGGATATCCTGGGAGAGACACAGACACCGGGGTGATAAGGGACACAGATAACCAGGAGAACAGGTTACAGGCTGAGCCGGCCCCTGCTCAGAATCCCCCCCGGGATTCCCGCGGGATGGGAGGCAGAGGATGTGCCTGGAGTGAGGAAGGAGCCTCGGGAGAGCTCATGGGGGATGGACAGAGACCCCTCTGAGGGGATCCCTGGCAGTGCCAAAGGCCAGGATGGACACTGGGGCTTGGAGCCGCCCGGGATGGTGGGAGGTGTCCCTGCCATGGATGGGGTGGGAATGGGATGATCCTTGAGGTTCCTTCCCACCCAACCCATTCCAGGATTCTGGAGCTCCTCTGCTTTGGGAGAGCTGGGAATGTTCCCCTGGAGAAGGGAAAAATGCAGGGAAAACTCAGAGTCTTTGCAGGGGCTCCAGGAGAGCTGGAGAGGGGCTGGGGACAAGGCCTGCAGGGACAGGAGCCAGGGAATGGCTCCCACTGGGAAAGGGGAGATTGGGCTGGGATCTTGGCAAGGAATTCCTGCCTGGGCTGGAATTCCCAGAGCAGCTGGGGCTGCCCCTGGATCCCTGGCAGTGCCCAAGGCCAGGTTGGATCCACCTGGGACAGTGGGAGATGTCCCTGCCATGGATGTGGTGGGAATGGGATGATCCTTAAGGTTCCTTCCAACCCAAACCATTCCATGATTTTATGACTTTATGAAATGAGTCAGGCTGGGGTTTGGTGACATTTTAACACCACTGAGTGTGGAGCTGCTCTCCTGCTGTCCCACTGCCTTCCCAGCCTCTGCCACGATCCCAGCTCACTGCCTGCCTCAATTCCCCGGCTCTCCCAGATGCTGCATGGCCAAACTCCCAGATTTTGGGTGTGCTTTTATTTTATCAGTTTGCTGTTAGCTCTGGATAAACCTCTCACTTCCCCATCACAGACGATCACAGACGTTGGGTCACGAATTCTCTGTGCATCACAGAATTATCCCCGCTGGAAGAGCCCTCCAAGGTCACCAAATCCAACCATCCCCAGCATTTCCACACCCATCCCTGACCCACGGTCCCACATAACTGAGGGATGACATAAACCATAAAATACCAGTATAAAAACAACACCACGAGGTGTAAAAGTCCTTTTAAACCTAGTTTAGCCCCAGTTTCCCTCACTGGTGCCCTCGGGGTGTCCTGAGGTGCTGTGACATCCGTCCTTCTCCTCTGGTGGAGAGGAGCTGGACCATGGTGACACAGAGGGAACCCCAAAGTTCACAGACACCCCAAGGTCGCTCACGGAATCAGAGATCCAGGGAATAATTTGGGTTGGAAGGGATCTTTAAAGCCCATCCAGTGCCACCCCCATGCCACCACTGTCCCAGGGTGCTCCAAGCCCCGTCCAACCCGGCCTTGGGCACTTCCAGGGATGCAGCCGGGGTTGGATTAACCATGGAATCAGAGCATGAGGGGCAGTTTGAGGGGATTTGGGGTCTCTCATTCTCCTCGAGGAGGAGGTGATGAGTTTAGGGTTGGGGCCACACTTCCAGAAGAACATTCAAGGCCCCTGGATCCCGGGAAGTGTCCAAGGCCAGGTTGGACAGGGCTTGGAGCAGCCTGGGACTGTGGGAGGTGTCCTGCCCATGGAACTGGATGGGCTTTAAGGTCCCTTTCCCACCCAAACCATTCCATGACTCCACGAGGATCCCCTCCTGCCCTCTCCTCCATGCAGGACCCAGCACTGCAGCGCCCGTGCCAGGAGCCGCTTGGAAAACGCTAAATTCCCATTTTTTGGCTCGTTCTCTGTCCCACCAGCTGGAAAACGACCTGGGAGGTCTGCCGGGAGCAGGAGCAGAGTGGATCCTTCCCAAGCCAGCTTGGAGCTGGACCAGCGGAGATCATCTGGGAGACCCACCACGGGCAGGGGTGACAGGCAAAGCAAATCCCGCTTTTCCTGAGGCAAATCCCGCAGCGTTCCCGGGACTGGCAGAGCCCCCCAGGAGCCACCCCGGAGCCCCGGGCGCTGTTCCCAGCACCGCTCCAGGGTTTGGGATGGAGCCGTGAGGAGCATGAGAACGACGGCCCTCAAAGGATGGATTGAGGGAGCCCCGGAGGCTCCTCTGGCCCCACGGAACCGGGATCGGGGCTCTCCGGGAACGCCGCCGGAGGGAGGCGGGAGAAACGGGAATAAATGAGAGTAGAAAGAAATGGAAATAAAAATGTAGGGCCGTGTAGAAATAGAAAAAAAATAGAGATTCAAATAGAGAAATAGAAATAAATTGAAATATTAAAACATAAAAATATGGAAGTATGGAAATAGAGAAATTTAGATAAAAATACAGAAACAGAAATAAATAGGAAATAAAATATAGAAATAAAAATAGGAATAAATAGAACTATAGAAATAAAAAATAAAAGTAAGAAATATAGAAATACTGAAATATAAATAAAAATATAAAAATATAAAAATATAAAAATATAAAAATATAAAAATATAAATACAGAAATATGGAAATAGAGATAAAAATACAGAAACAGAAATAAATAGAAAATAAAATATAGAAATAGAAATAAAATAGAAATAAAATACAGAGATAGAAATGAAAACAGAAATAAATAGAACTATAGAAATAAAAAGAAATAAAAGCATAAAAATATAGAAATAGAAACATGGAAATAGAAATAAAATACAGAAATAGAAATAAATATGGAAATAAACGGAACTATAGAAATGTAAAAAAAATACACAAATAAATTTTAAAAGAAATGCATTGAAATATAAATATAGAACTATAGAAATAAATAGAAATAAAAATACAGAAATAGGAATAAATATAGAATTAAATGAAGATAAATATAAAGAGAAATATATAAATGAAATTCAAAATACAGAAATAGAAATGAAAATAGAAATAAAAAGAAATAGAAATACAGAGATAGAATGGAATAAACCAGAATATTCTCAGGTGGAAGGGAACCTACAACAACATGGTCCAACTGCCCAGCCACTTCATGTCCAAAAGTTGTTCATGGCATTGCCCAAACACTGAAAAATTCGGGAGAGCCACTCCTGCCTGAAGCCCAGCACATTTTAAAGGATTTTGGAGCTGGAGGTTCATCTTTACAGCAAAATTTTCTGGTAGGACAAGAAAAACTCTGCTTAAGAGCCAATAAAAAGAAGGAGCCACAGCCAAGCCATTGGATTTGGATAATGTGGGATTCGGGTCAACGGGATAAAATGGAATTTTTCCATCTGAGCTCCCTCTGTCCACCCAGGGCTGAGGTCTTTGCTCACAGGGATAGAAAGAGCTGCTAAAGCATGATGGGGGTGGAAATTCTCCCGGGATTTGGGGGCCACACTCACTTTTCCAGCAGGATGAGGGCTGTGGTGGGGTTCACACGAAGGTACTTGCACGTGGGCTGTCCGTAGTCGGCCAAATATGTGGACCAATCCCACTGGATGAACAGATCCAGGAGCTGGAAAGGAAAAACAAACGGGGTTTGAAAAAGCTGGAAAAGGCAGCAGGTGTTTCCCTGGAAGCTGGCAAAGGCCCTGGGCAGATGGAGTTATCCATAAAAAAAAAAATGAATGCAGGTTTTATTGATTTGTTTAATATTATTCTGTTAAGGTTTCATCATTAACTTGATTGTACTTCATTATTAATTTAGGGATATTTAACATTGATTAATGCAGGGCTGTATTAAATTAGCCATTGAGCATTCCTGTTCTGTGATCCACAGTTTTGTGTATTTGAAGGGGATTTTAAGTTTGAGACACCTCAAGGACGTGGGTGACAACCCCAGTGCCCTGACCCTCTCAGCCATGGCAGGAGGAAACTTTTGGGGTCAAAGTCACCAAAAGTAACTTCTGTCCCCAAACAACCCCCAGTGTCATTCAAACCATTCCCCACGGATTTCTCACCACCCTGGGTCCACCCCAACACCCTCCAAGTGCTCTGGAAGTGTCTCCAAAGCCCAGAGGAGCTCGGGGGGTTATTCTGGGTGAGAGCAGCTCCCAGAGCTGGGAGTCCCAGGTGCTTTCCAGACGTTGGTAAGAGAAACCACCAGGCCTTGGCAGCAGGGGAAGGAAAAGGGATTAACTCGGCCATCCGTGACGGTCCCTGCTCCAGACCACCAAAATTCCCACCTGCAGCCCTTCGTGTCCACAAACAAACCCGCTCCTCCCAGCCAGGTGAGGGACGGGCAAACGACAGCCCAGGTTGCCCAAATGCCTTCTTCCCACACTGTTCTCATCCTTGTTTTCCTTAAAAAACCAGGAGCTGCTATGGCCTCCTCACATGAGGATCTCCTCACCTCGATGAGGACTTGGCTTCTCCACCTACCCATGAGGGCACTGTCCAGGTTCCCTAAATGCCTTCTTCCCACACCATTCCTATCCTTACTTTCCTTAAAAAACCAGGAGCTGCCATCCCCTCCTCACACGAGGATCTCCTCACCTCAACAAGGACTTGGCTTCTCCATCCATCCATGAAGGCACAGTCCAATGCCCTCTTCCCACACCATTCCCACCCTTGTTTTCCTTAAAAACCAGGCTCTCCCCTTCCCTCCCCACACGTGGATCTCCTCACCTCAACGAGGACTCGCCTTCTCCACCCACCCGTGGCGGCACGGCCCAGGATTCCCGGGATGCCGCTCCACCACCTCTGCCCCATCCACAGCAGGTTAATTAAGAGCTCCTGCCGTTCCCCCCTCCCCGAGATCCCGTCTTGGAGCGCCACTGTGACCACTCTATTTGGGGACAGCCTGCCAAGCGCGTGGACGTCTTCATCGCCCGCTCGGCGCGTCCCGGTGCCCACCACCGGGGCCGGGAGAGGCCGGGCCCGTCCCGCGGCCAAGCGGGGCCCATAGAGGCCTCATTGTCCCCGCGTCGCCATGGTTTTCCTGGAGGCCCCGGCGCTGTTTAACAACGCATCCTGCCCCGCCAAGAAGGGGATTTAGCTCCTCCGAGACCTCCAGATACAAAACAAAAATGTGCAACAAGATTCTTTTTGACTATGTAGGTCAGGGCAAGGAAAACAAGCTGTCGGGAACAATCCCCCGGGCTGGCGGGGGGGATGGATTAGCCGGGACCTAAGAGGGCTTTTCCAGCCTGGGTCCCGCTCGGCTTTGTCCGGCGGGGCCTTTGTGTTGAACTACAAACCCGAGCTGAACATCATTGGCAGGAGGTTTTTCCAAGGGGGCACCTTCGAGAGAGACAACCTTAAATATGATTTCACAGGCGCTTTTCAGGCCGAGCGCCGGGGCCAAAACGCTTCCGTGGGGCTTGGCGGCTGCTGGGAGGAGTCGCATGGTTGTAGAGGCTCAAAGGGAACCCCCACAACGCGCCAAAGACCTCTTGCTGGTGGCCCCTGGGAGGCTGAACGTGCCTCGGGCAAATCCCAAACAAAGCCTGAACGAGTTTCTTGCCATGGAAAGTGGGCGGCCGGCCGGAGCATCCAGGGGCCAGGTAGCCGCTCGTGGGGAGGGGGAGTAAAGAGCCAGGAGGAAAGGGATGAAGGAGGAAAGGAAATAAAAAAAAAAGTGAGGATTAGGAAGGGGTTTGGAGAAGATGGAATTAAAACGTTGGGAGTTGTTTTGACACAGGCTTGGGAGAAATGCAGGAGCTCAGAGGGACATGGAGCTGCTGCAGGGCTGGAGCCCCTCTGCTCTGGAGCCAGGCTGGCAGAGCTGGGAATGTTGCCTGGGGGCAACAGGGCCTGCAGGGGCTCCAGGAGAGCTGCAGAGGGGCTGGGGACAAGGCCTGCAGGGACAGGAGCCAGGGAATGGCTTCCACTCCCAGAGAAACTCCAGTGACCTGGAGCCATCGACAGCAGCTCCACACGAGCCCAGGTGTGCCCAGGTGGCCAAGGAGGCCAAAGGCACCTGGGCTGTGCCAGCACTGGGGTGGCAGCAGGACCAGGGCAGTGCCTGTCCCCTGTGCTGGCACTGCTGGGGCCACAACCTCAAATTCTGGGGCAGTTCTGGGCCTCTCCCAACAAGAGAGACCCTGAGGTCTGCAGCATGTCCAGGGTGGGAACAGAGGTGGGAAGGGGCTGCAGAATCCCTGAGGGAGCTGGGCAGGGGCTGCAGAATCCCTGAGGGAGCTGGGCAGGGGCTCAGCCTGGAGCAAAGGAGGCTCAGGGGGCCCTTGTGGCTCTGCACAGCTCCTGCCAGGAGGGGACAGCCTCCAGGAACAGGGACAGGAAGAGAGGGAACGGCCTCAGGGGAACCTCAGGGTGGACACTGGGGAATTTCCTCATGGAAAGCCCTGTCCAGCCTGATGGAGACCCTATCCCTGGAAGGATTTGAAGGCTTTACTTGGGGACACGGGTCAGCAGTGGCCTTGGCAGTGCTGAGGAAAGGCTGGACTCAATCTCTGAGCACATTTCCAACTATATTGATTCCATGACTCCCAGCGCTCCCACCTCGGCCTGGACCTTCCCGGAGCTCTCGCAGAGCCAGACCACCCCCAGGTGGCTCCCGACAGTGACGGATGGGCTGTGTATTTTCCAACTCTTTGCCCACATCCATCTTTTTTGGCTCGGCAGGTCCGCGGACGGCCGGGGCCAGCACCTTTGGCCCCGGCTGCCGGCGCTCCCGGCCCGGCCGCGGGTCGCGCTCCGGAGGGGAGAGGTCCTGCAGGAGGAAGCCCGAAGGCTCAGGGAGAGCTGCCTCCAGACGATTTATCTGTCACATAAATGTGGTTTTATTGGTTTTACTGCTTCAACTTTTCACCTCTGCTGCTAAATCTGAACGGGCCGAGGGGAAAGGGAAAAAAAGGGAAAAGGGAAAAAAGAGCCGGCGGCGTGGGGCTGCCGCGGGTCTGCCGGGGGAGTTTCCAAATCAAATATGCAAATACCATTAATTCTTTAAACTGGAGTCTCCCTTTCAAGGCCATAAATCAAACTCGACAGCAGATCCACTGGGGGGTGGGGGGGAAGGAAAAGGAGAGGAGGGAAAGGGAAAAAACGAGGAGGGAAAAATTAAGAGGAGCTTTCACCATAGTGATGTGGGAGTGGGATAAGATCAGGAAGCTGCAGATGTGCTCAGGGCTGGGGACCTGCAGCTTCCCGGGGTTCCAGGAACACCTTTAGGAGGAGCAGGGAGAGGTGCAGGTACAGCTTTATAAAAATGGAGAAGTGGAGGAGGATGGTTTGAAAAAAATGCCAGAAAAAAGGTACTAAAAAAAGTACTAAAATTGGTTTTATACACATACATGAGCTTGTATCCAAATTGAAGTGAGAATTCAAGAGAAGGAAATGCTGGAATGAAAGAATTAAACTGGGAGCCAGCTCCCAGCCTGTCCCAGGTTCCCCTAGAAGAACTTTCCCCCCCCATTTCATGGAATCATGGAATCATTTAAACTGGAAAAGACCTTTCACATCATCAAATCCAACCACCAGTTCTACCTCAAAACCACTTCCTTTCCACCCCCCTTGCAACGGCACCACCTCAAACTCTTCAAGAATGTCCTTTTTATCCAAGCAGACAAATTTTCACACCCCTCACCTCAAGCAGAGGGCGAGGATGGCTGGAAGGTCCCTGCAGGAGGAGACCAGGCCGTGGCTGGGCTCCGCATCCCCCTCCAGATGGGAAGGAGAGCAGGGACAGTTTGTTCTGTCTGACGACAGCGTGGAATCTGGATGGAATCCTCCCGGCCAAGCCAGGAGCACTGGAATGTGAATCCAAACTGACTCCAAACACGGTTTGCAAGCCCTGCCAGAGCTCCTGGAACCAGATCTAAGCCACCACCGGCGTTCGCACGCTCGCGCCCGTGTCACAGTCATGGAATCGTGGAATGGGTTGGGTGGGAAGGGACCTCAAAGCCCACCCAGATCCAACCCCATGGGCAGGGACACCTCCCACTATCCCAGGTGGCTCCAAGCCCCAGTGTCCAACCTGGCCTTGGACACTTCCAGGGATGGGGCTGTGACTGCCCCACCTGGCCCAGCATCCCCCAACGGGGAATTGCCCCAAAAGCTCCTGACCTGCACAAAATTCCCAGGGGAATGTGCCAGTTTTCCCAGGAAAAGGGATGGGATTTGGTTAAATAGGAGACATCCCCTCATTGTGGTTTTCCAGTCCTTTAGGGGTGGCTACAGGAGGAGGAAGAGGAAGATCTCTCTTCACAAGGAACCCCATGGAGAAGATGAGGAGCAAAGACTCCAAGTGCCACAGGAAAGGTTTGATCTCCACACAAGAAAAAAATTCCTTGGAGTGACACCCATCTTCCACTGGGACAACTTCCCCTGGATGTGATGGGGATCCCACTGCTGGAGTTTTTGGGATGGACAGGGCAGGGCTCCTTCCATTCATCCCTTCCCCATAGCAGGCTGGACCATATGAGCTCTCAAGGTCCCTCCAAACCAGGGTGGTTCTTTGATTTCATCCCAGAAAAAATACTTCCCTCTGGTCCACCACCAGATTTCCTCCTCCCAGGGACAAGGAGGAGCACCAAGATGGATTTGGTGGGATTG